TAGTGGCTAAAATTTCTAGTGGTAAAAAATTCTTTTTATTTTATATACTTCTTAAAACTTGAGTTATTTATATGTATATTTATTTAATTATAAGCAACTAGTTTAAATAGAAACCATACAATATATTAAAATGTCTTACCAAACAACAATTAGTTACGGAATTGTATGTGGCTAATTTAATTAAGTTTCTTAAGAACAATATTCTGAAAATTCAGAGGAAGAAATTTTTACATATTTTACTTCAGATTTATATACAAATTATATGTAATGAGTACTTTTTTGATATAATGTTTTCTTTTTTTTAAAAGACATTTATTCGGTGTCACAATCAGACTATTACATTTAGCAATCAACAGCATGGGTGCAAAAAGAAAAAGAAAAAGAAAAAACTCTACATTAAAACCCTTTGTTGGAATGCTTTACACTTTCCACAGAACAGAAACTAAAATAACCTGTTATACAATTAGTCACAAATACAGTCCTCGAGTTTTTTGCCCATACACATGAGTATCTGACTAAATCATGTCTTCTTTGTAGCAGGTAGGCATCTGTTGTAACCTCTGGCTCTCCTCTCCTGCTAAGCTTTGTTTCCTAATTAGAATCTTCTGCCACTGCCATAGCTATTGTGCTACTGGAACCGCCACAGTGACCTTGGTTTCATGGTTTGGCAAAGTATTGGCCATCACCACCATAGGGGCCATAGTTTCTGCCTCCAAAGTTTCCTCCTTTCATGGGTCCAAACTCTGAAGACTGATTGTTGTAACTGTCAAAATCACTGTAGCTTCCACCACTTCCAAAGTTGCTTCCATCATTACCAAATCCATTATAGCCATCCCCACTGCCACCATATCTACCACCACCATGGCTGCCACCAAAGCCACCACGACCACTGAAGTTTCCTCCATGACCAAAGTTGTCATTCCCACTGAAACCACCTCCATGACCACCACCAAAGTTTCCAGAACCACTTCAGCCTCTGGCTGGATGAAGCACTCGCCAGCTCTTGCTCTGACAGGGCTTTCCTAACTTCACAGTTGTGGCCATTCACAGTATGGTCTTTCTGAATGACAGCCTTATCCACGGAGTCATGGTCGTCAAAGGTTACAAAGGCAAAGCTCCTTTTCTTGCCACTGCCTCTGTCAGTCATGATTTCAAGCACTTTAATTTTTCCATACTGTTCAAAATATTCTCTTAGGTGATGTTCTTCAGTGTCTTCTTTAATGCCACCAACGAACACTTTTTTCACAGTTAAGTGGGCACCTGGTCTTTGAGAATCTTCTCTTGAGACAGCTCTCTTTGGTTCCACAACTCTTCCATCCACTTTGTGTGGCCTTGCATTCATGGCTGCATCCACCTCCTCCACAGTTGCATACGTGATGAACCCAAAGCCCTGGAGTGCTTGGTGTTTGGATCTCTCATTACCACACAGTCTGTGAGCGTTCCCCATTGCTCAAAATGGCTCATCAGGCTCTCATCAGTTGTTTCAACCCTCCAATGAAGAGCTTCCTCAGCTGTTCCGGCTCTTTAGGAGATTCTGACTTAGACATGATCGCAGGGAGAAGAGAGATTTTAGGAATGCTTCTTCGGTGGCATCCATGGGCAGAGATATAATGTTCTCTTAGTGAAATTATCAAATTGCCCTTTTCTACTGGTGACCTGTTGTAATACTGCTTTGTTCAACTAAATTTTGACAAATTTAATTAAGTAAAAATTCCTTTTGGATAGTTGAATTCTACAATATTCTGATCTCTATAAAAACAAATCTATTGACCAGGCTTGGTGGCTCACACCTGTAATCCCAGAACTTTGGGAGGCTGAGGTGGGTGAATCACCTGAGGTCAGGAGTTGGAGACCAGCCTGGCCAACATGGTGAAACCCCATCTCTACTAAAAATACAAAAGATTAGCCAGGTGGTGGCTTACACCTGTAGTCCCACCTACTCAGGAGACTGAGACACGAGAATCTCTTGAACCCAGAAGGCAGAGATTTCAGTGAGCCAAGATCGTACCACTCCAGCCTAGGTGACAGAGTAAGACTCTGTCTCAAAAAAACAAAAACAAAAAAACTATCTACTAAAAAATGCTTTGTAGTTTTCAACTGCAACTCTTGAATTTATAATTAATGGCAGACATATAAGTTAGCTATTGGTGTGTAATCACTCTAAAACTCAGTGGCTTAAAAATTACCATTATTTACTGTTGCTTGTATGTCTTTACAGTTGTTTGTATGTCTGCGGGACAGCTGGGCCTCTGTTGATCCGGGCTGGGCTCAGCTGGGAGGCTTTCTTTACTTCAAGCTGAGATGGCTAAGGGGGGTTCTATATTTCATAGAGGACTGGTGAACTGGCTGGATTACAAACTCTTGAGAGCACATTTTTATGTGATGATAGTGTAAGAGAGAATAGAAGCACTCAAGGCCTAGGATCTGGACTGGCACACTCCCACTTCCTTCAAAAAAGCAAGGCATATGGCCAAGCCAAAAAGTCAAAGGGCAGGGAAGGACACTTTCTCATGATGAACATGGAGTAGTGTGGATGGTACAGGGTTGAAGGAGCAGAGTCACCAAGGCCGTCTGCCACACCAGATTAGATTATGGAAAACTGAGGTAGAGACGTCAATGGTCTGAGCTGTATGGATTCAATAGTAGGTAGAACATAGGGAACAGGATCTGTTAAGTGAAGAAATGGAAGTGCTTGTGAGAGGAGTGCTGAATTTTCTCCAGGCAAAAAGAGTTGAAAGAGCTATGGCTGAGGGACATCAAAGGGCTGACTTGTCCCGGGATCCAGTGGGAAAAAGAGCAGTTGGGTAAAGGGAGAGTAAGAGGCAAATAAGACTATAACCATCCCTCAGCACCCATTGAAATTGGTTGCAAGACTACTGCAAAGACCAAAATGCAGGATGTTCAAGTCCTGGATATAAAATGGTGTAGTATTTGCATATAACCTATGCACATCCTCCTGCAAAATTTAAATCATTTCTAGATTACTTATAATACCGAATACAATGTAAATGCCATGTAATAGTTATTACACTCTATTGATTTTTATTTTTACTATTTTTAAATGTTGTATTATTTTAATTTTTGTTTTTTCAAATATTTTCAATCTGCTGTTGGTTGAATTTGTGGATGAGATCTGTGGATACAGAGGGCTGACTGTACTAAGAATGTCTAGGTGGGGTGCCGTGGCTCATGCCTGTAATCCCAGCACATGGGGAGGCTGAAGAGGGTGGATCACCTGAGGTCAGGAGTTCGAGATCAACCTGGGCAACATGGTGAAACCCCGTTTCTACTAAAGATACAAAAATTAGCCAGGCGTGGTGGTGCAAGCCTGTAATCCCAGCTACTCAAGAAGCTGAGGCAAGAGAATTGCTTGAACCCTAGCAGCGGAGGTTGCAGTGAGCCGAGATCACACCATTGCATTCCAGCCTGGGCAAAGGAGCCAGACTCCATCTCAGTGGGTGGATCACCTGAGGTCAGGAGTCTGAGACACAACTGGCCAACATGGCAAAACCCCGTTTCTACTAAAAGTATAGAAATTAGCTGGGTGTAGTGGTGGACACCTGTAATCCCAGCTACTCAGGAGGCTGAGGCAGGAGAATAGCTTGAACCTGAGAGGTGGAGTTTGCAGTAAGCCAAGATGGCGCCACTGCACTCCAGCCTGGGCGACAAGAGCGAGACCCCGTTTACAAAAAAAAAAAAAGAATGTCTAAGTGGATGATCTCTAATTTAATTTTAGTTAATTAAAATAAGGTAAATAGTTATTATCCACTGAAATTGTGTATTTCTAGATTATGCAATAGTCAGTCATCCCTCCGTATGGGGTTGATGGTTGGCTCTAGGTCGCCTTCTCCGCGGCAACAATACCAAAATCCATGAACTACCAAGTCTGGCTACAGAACTCACAGATACAAAACATCAGCCCTTTGTATCAGTAGGCTCCTGCATCCCATCAATGCTGTATTTCTGATTCATGTTGGTTGAATTTGTGGGTGTGGAACCCACAGTTATGGAGGGCTATTTATTGAAGAAGCATCCACTTGCAAGTGGATCCACGCAATTCAAACCTGTGTTGTTCAATGGTCAGCTGTAGTAGAATCTATGAGAATGAAGTTTTTCTGCACTGGGTTCGGGTTTGGCCAGTGGTGTAGCTACTCTGCAGGATTTTGGTATCCTAAATCACACATAAGTACAGTATTTGGAGCAGGGAAGACATAATCACCATGAAAAAATCATTCTCAGTTAATTTCATGCTTTTCATTAAAACTGGCACTTTAATCAAAGTGATGATCCTTGCACCATTAAATAGAGAATATTTCTGAGTCAATTCAGTATTTGTAAGTTCATAATTTTTCCGCGTGATGTGCTGCCTGTTGAGTACTTACGTACAATTCATTTGTAATTTCTTCCCCTTTTGATGTGAATTTAGGTTAGGAACCCTTTTGCTTCTTGCGTTCTGGATGCAGTAGAATCACATACCTTTGCCTTTTTTCTTATCTTCACTGTTTAAAAATATTTTCCATTACTAAGAAGACAGCTGTTGTCTTTAAGTCAAACTGCATACACAGCACTGCGACCATTAGAATGGAGACAAATTACCTCATTAGTAGAACACGCCTCTCCTCAAGAGAACTAATCCTGGGACTTATATTTTTGGACATATTCTGAGAAAATCTCTTAAGACTACTGGATAGTCTTCTTTGTTTCACTGCTACTCTGATTTACATCATTTGAAAAAAAAACAATTTGATGATACGTCTACATGTTTGAGTATGTGATTCTCTGGTCTTTGTTTAGCAGGTAATTTCTCTTTTATCCAGAATCTTTGAGCAATAATGCTTTTTGTCAAATAAAGTTTATTGAACGTGTACATTAGCCATGTATTAAAACAGGAGAAGGCTTGCTATAATTAAGAACATTGGCCTTGGAGCTGTTATCTTGTCAGTCCAACACTTCGCTTCATTGCATTTTTTGTTGTTGATGTCCGTCCTCTTTCTTTCTAGGCTGGGAAGTGATGACACCCACTTTGAGCTTAGCATGGCCAACAATGGATGTGAAGTGCATCGTTTTGATCCTAGTGCCAAGTCAGCTCACATTCTGGAGAGTCAGCACCTTTGGTATCACCGCTTGTCCATCGACTGGCGGGATCCCCATCCAGCTGTTGCTGCCCAGAAACCACACAGCAACACCAGAAAACTGGGAAGCATTTTGAATGAATTTGGGCATCACAAGGTGAGATTTTTCATTTGATTTTATACTTGAATAAAGTAAACAAATCCATCAGCTTTTTAAAATGCAAACCAAGAATAGCAACATTGACATTAGATAGTTGAAGGTCCAGTTATTTTATTTTATTTTTTAATTGTCCTTTAAGTCCTGGGGTACATGTGCAGATCTTGCAGGATTGTTGCATAGGTACACACATGCCATGGTGGTTTGCTGTCTCCATCACCCCGTCACCTACATCAACCATTTCTCCCAGTTTTATCCCTCCCCAACCTCTTTTCCTCCTGCTGCTCCTTCCCTGGCCCCCCACCCCCTAACATACCCCTGTGTATAATGTTCACCTTCCTGTGTCCATGTGTTTTCATTGTTCAACACCCACTTATGAGTGAGAACATGTGGGGTTTGGTTTTCTGTTCTTGTGTCAGTTTGCTGAGAATGATGGTTTCAAGATTCATCCATATCCCTACAAAGGACATGAACACATAATTTTTTATGGCTGGATAGTATTCCATGGTGTATATGTGCCACATTTTCTTTGTCCAGTCTATCATTGATGGGCATTTGAGTTGGTTCCAGGTCTTTGCTATTGTAAACAGCGCCACAGTGAACATACATGTGCATATGTCTTTATAATAGAATGATTTATAGGCCTTTGGGTATATACCCAGTAATGGGATTGCTGGGTCAAATGGAATCTCTGTTTTTAGGTCCTTGAGGAATCGTCACACTGTCTTCCACAATGGTTGAACTAATTTACACTCCCACCAAGTTTTAATCCCACTAATCACTTAACATTAGAGAGTCAACTCTAGACACAAAGTGTTGGCAAGAATAGCGATATTTAAATCGATTTGAAGATTTTAGTTGCTATTGAGTAATATTAATAGTCTTGGCCAAGACTAGGCAAGAAGACTAAGAAACTTACTTCTGGCATAGGCTGAAGAATACCATTTTCATTTGGCAACTGATGTACACTTTCCAGAAAGAGCAAACTACTTATGTTGAACTCAAATACAAAAAATAATTGGGGCTATGTTTAATAAGATATTGCTGTGTATCATGTACTCACTGTTGTTACATGTTTCTCACTATTTTGAACCTCTAGGCTCTATACAGAAAATACGTATAACTTTGATTAAAATTTACTTTATAAAATTGAATGGACGTTATGTATGTTGGAAATTATATATCGAAGGATGTGAAATCTCTGCAAACATTTTATTATGAGTGAACAGCAAAAAAGAAATTCAATCTTTGAACTGTGTTCTTTGAAAGCAATTTTCATTGCAGCATACCTGAGCTGACTAGGTGGATACTAGGTAATTTCTCCTGGGTGTTGGTGGCTTGTGTTTGATCTTCAGCCCTTCTTGGGTTTGGCTATTTTGGCCTGTGTTCGCAGCCAGAGATGCCATGAAATTTAGAGCAGATCACAATAGGTGTTTGTATTTGAGAAACAGTGTGCATGAGACTCAATTTTAAACTTGAGTTGGCTTCTTGATCTTCAGCAAGAGGCTTTTCCCCACATTGTTGTTCCTCCTCCTCCTCTTCCCCATCTTCCTTCTTTTCTCCTTTTCCTTTCTTCATCTTCCTCTTCCTTCTCCTTCCTCCCTCTCTTCTTCCTCCTTCTCTTTCTTCCTCTAAACAACTTTTAATTAGATAGCCCATGCTTCATCAAGAACAACTTCAAAAAATTTGCTATTCTTTTAACACACTATTAACTATTGATTTGTACCTTGCTTTGCCACCAAGAGTAACTGGTGGCATTTAATAGTCAAGAGCCTTAGTGAGGCCTATGTAGGATTTTTGGGTAAAATCTCAGAACAGAATTCTTTTTTACATGCTGTTAATGTTTGTCATATGTGTGGGAAGAAGCAGGAGCATTTTTCAGAACTTTATTTAGGATTTTGTCTTTTTCTTTTCTGTTGCTTGTTACCTTTGTAGATCTGATTTTTACTGCTGAAAATTACAGGCCTGTTTCTCTAATATGTCAACTTTAGATTATTCAAAGAGCTAAGCACTTATTCTTTGTGTTCAGTTAGGAGTCTTGCTGTTCCTCTTTTATGCTCTTTACATCCTAGCCTTCTCCAACCCCACTCTTCATAAAAAGACTGAGTAGGAAAGAGAGAAACTCAGTGCCATTTTGCTTATTTTTTTTCCTAATAATATTTTAGCAAAAGATTTGGTAGAGGTGAGGATAAAATAAGACTTTGAAAAAGTGATCTGTGGATATAATTTATTTAACCACATTTTCCTATGGGAAATGTATTTTAGATAACAAGATATGTACCTGAATTGTGTTTGTTTAGCTGCAGTGGGCAAACCCTTATGCTAAGGGTAAAGCATGAGGCCTTTTGCAATGCTGCTTCTGAGATAGTAGAAATATTTACAGTGATGTCTAAAAAGGAGAAATGCTTTAAGGGATTGCTTATGTTTCTAAGGCTACTTATTATTATTTTTTTTTAATGTTTACAATGAAAGTGATCTGGCACAGAATTGCCAGGAATGCATTTGTTCCTTTTTTTTTTTTTTAATTTCTTGTTGAAGAATTTAAAAAATACTGCCATTCTTTCCTAGAGATTTCTTTTTTTTTGGTGACTGCTTTCAAACAAAAACAACACAGCTAAACCTATCAGTGATTGCTTTCCTTAGGAACATGCTTCTAGGAGCTATGCGGGGCCAGATAAATGGAAACCTTTTCTGTGGCATGCAGCAAGCATGGTCTATTTTCATTTTTCTGCACGTGTACAGACAGTGGTAAATAGGATGTGGCTGTGGCAGGGGAAGCAGATAGAAAAAAACACAGTAACAAATGTCAGCGTTTTTGCCTTGACACCTTCATTCATTTATTCTGAAAGTGCGTGTAGAAACCAAAGCCTTTAGCTGTTTTGTTTTCGTTTCAGAACTTTAAAATATCTCATACTGTTTTGTAATAATTTTCCTACTTGGCTGTTAGTTTTCCTTTTCTATATATCCATACCTGGATTCCAGCCACTCAAGCAAAATATGGGCAAAAATGAAAGCAGTCTTCTGAGATAGTGACAGAAAGACGCATACGGCTTTCATACTGCTTTTAAAACTCTTTGGTAATTTTAACTTCAAACTATGAATCAAAAGCCTTTTCTAAAGCATTGGGTTAGAGCAGCTGCATCAGCAAAATCATGTGGACCAGAAGCCCAGTCTGTCAGGGAATAATATCACTTGGATCCAGCATTATGTGAAATGATTAACTGTCTACTCTTTGCAGAAGTGGTTATTGTTAACTAAGCATACAATTTTTTTTTCAGACTGCAACTAGAAATATTGAATCTGAAGTTTCTGCTCATATTAATCATAATGTATGTTTTTTTTAAAGTCTTTGTTCATATTAATCATAATGTATGTTTTTTTAAAAGTCTTTGTTACTTTAGATTTTGTTACACTCAGTATCCTCAATGATCCAAGCTAGTTAATGAGGAATTATAACTATTATTTTTGGTCTTAACCATGCTGCTGAATAACAGAGCTGCCTGAGGGTTTCCCTATGTAAGCTCATCAGTCTAGGTTTGAAGCATGGTCCTCTTGTTGGCTTTTGGTGTTAGCAGACTCATTTAACCTCTCTGGCATTCAGTTTGATTGTCAGCTAAATGAGGACGATGATACTTTCTAAACTGTGGGTTGTTTTTGAGAAGTAGATCTGAGCACACAGTGTGAAAGTCTCCAGCAGAATGCCTGGTGTGAATTAGTCACTCAATTGTTTTCAGTAAATTCAAAGGGTTTTTATAAACAATTTTAGTAAATTTTATAGAAAACCTTTTTTTTTCTTTCTTTCTTTGTTATCAGGGAAATGTACATCAGAGATTTCTCTGGAAATTGCTAACTATACCTAGTTCCAGTCAAGAGTTTTTAATGAGATCTTTGTGTGAAACTGAAAGGCAATTGGTCCTTCAGATGTTGTTGTAGAGAAAATATTGTTGCTGCCTTCAGGCGCTGAACAGCTTTGAGGGTGACTGAATAGAAAGTAAATATTGTGCTGTATAGAAATTAAATAAACTGCTCTGAGAGTGAGTTGAGATTTATTCCACACAGAACAGATAGATCTTGGGGCTGGGGCCCTCTGGTCAGATGCCCTGGGAGAGCTGGCCTCCCTGTCTGTCAGCTCAGGGAACTGTGTCTTCCTACACCTGCCCCTGTCACCACTCAGGACATGGCTCAGTGTCCACTTGGACCCTCACAGGACTACCAGTTTCTGCCTCTCTTGGCTAAGAGCTCACCATTGATTCCAGAACATCAGTTTCGTTGTGCGTCAATATGGGCTTTGAAATGAAATTACACAGCTGGGCAACATAGTGAGATCCCATCTCTACAAAATATTTTAAACATTAGCTGGGCATGGTGGCATGCTCCTGTAGTCCCAAATACTTGGGAGGCTGATGTGGGAGGAGTGATTGAGTCCAGGAGGTAAAGGCTGCAGTGAGCCATGATCACTCCACTGTACTCCAGTCTGGGTGACAGAGCCAGATCCCTCTCTCAAAAAAAAAAAAAAAAAAAGAAAAGGAAAAGAAATTAAAGATTCACTCTTGTTTTTATTTTTACTTATCAAATTGCTAAACATAAACAAGATATTGATATTGCCCTGTATTGGAATGCTTGTTGGAAATAATACACTTTGCTGCTAGAAATGGAAAATAATATACTCTTTAAGGAAGATTTGACCATATGTATATAGTGTGTCAGTTTTATTTCTAGAAATATTTTTGGCCTTAAATTCTTTTTTATTTGATGTTAGTTCTGCCATACTAGCTCTCCTTTGACAAGTATTTATGTGAAGTAACATTCTAGATTATTTTCATTCTTTTGATATAGTTTTAGTTTATATATGGCTTATAGGAGACATGTATTCAATCTATGTCTGGATTGTGTTTTTAAACCCAACCTGATAATGTCTTTAAACAGGTGTGTTTAATTCTTTTATATTTATATTTATTGGGATTACTGGCATATGGGGAATAATTTCTACTCTTTTAAAT